CTCGCGCAGCTCAGCCTGCGCCGTCCTCCCGCCTCGGTAGAGGCGAGTGAGGACCTCCGGCGCCACACGCGTGCGGATCTCCCCCACGCGCCCGAGGTCCGCCTTGTCGTCGAAGCCCTTCAGCGCCTGGATCATCGTCTCGCGGGGGTTGCGGGACTCCATCTCCAGCTCGTCGATGCGAATCTTCAGCGGAGTGCGTGCCGAGCCGTCCGAAGCACCGCTCGAGGACCGGTCCCCGACAAGCTCGAAGCCGCCCCCCGAGGAAGGTGAAGGTGACGGGGCCGAAGATCCGCTTCCCCTCGTCGCCCGCGAGCTGTCCATCTCGACTATCGTCTCGTGCTCCCTGAGCTTTCGCAACAGCGCATCGATCTGCCCCTTCGATGGTTCCACGAACTCGTCGTCCCGCCGTGCGTCCGCTGTGTCCGAGCGTGTCGACCGCGATGAGCGGGGCGTCCCGGGACGGTCCTCAGCCTCGAAGCGCACCGCAGGAGCAGTCGCCTTGAGCTCGCGAATCTGGTCGGCCAGCTGCGCCAGCTGCTCCTGTCCCGTCAAGATGGTGCGCAGCAGGTCCGTGGACGAGGGCTCCTCACCTGAGTCGGTATCCGAAGCGGATGTGCCCTTTGCCCTCATGTCCCCGTCCTCGCTGTCCGAACCGTCATAGTCCGAGCCCGTGTCCGAGGCACCCGTGTTGTAGTAGATGGCCCAGATGACCAGAGCGCCGATCCCCAAGGTGATCAAGTAGAAGTCCAGCTCGCCGCTCTCCCGCATCTCGCCCACGCTGTCCTTGATGTCCCCGAGGTAGTCGAGCCACTCTCGTCCCTCTTGGTACGCATGATAGGCGGCTCGCGCCCACTCATACAATCCAAGGTAGTGCCACACACGCCAGCAGATGACGCCCGTCGCGGCCAAGGGCCCCCAGCTCCGCCGAGCCCAGGCCCACAGCCCCGCCGTCGTCACAGCTTCCATCGCACTGAACTTCGGGAGGAGCGAGAGCCGCTTGCGACCACCCTTCTTGACACCGACCTTCTTCGGGCCCTCCTTCGTGACGCCATTCATCCTGTCGATGAGTCGAGCGCTAGCTTGTTCGGCTTCTTGCTTGTCATGAGCGCTCAACCCTTTGTGATCTGTGTAGACCACTCCCGTCTTCGCTCGAGTCGACGCGTGGATCTTATCCTTCGGATTGATCAACTGCACCCGCCCCACCGGGTCCAGAGCCGTCCACTCGCCAGCCTTGCCGGGAGCCCGCTCCAGAAGCAGCATCACCACGCCTGTCGGCCCGTCCTTGGCCGTCCGCCAGTAGATCCGGTTCCACTTCTTGAAGGCCATCGTGTACCACTGCGAGCTCCCTCGATCTGGATGCCAAGGGAAGCTCTCCACCCGTTCGTGCTCGACCTTGAGCTCCGCGACCTCCTCGACGTCAGCGCCCTCCTCGAGCACCAGTCGGTCCTGGAGGCCCAGGAGCAGACACACCACCCAGAAGAACGTGGTGCCCCGCCGCAACGCCGTCCTGGCGCCAGGGGCACCGCCCCGCGGCCGAAGGCCGCGCACGTGCGCCAGCTGGGCGCAGCCGCGCCCCAACGCCGATGGCGGCGATGGGCGCTCACGGGCCCTCGGGGCGAGGCGCGGGCGCTGGCCACGAGCCTCGAAACCTTCGAGCCCAAAAAGCTACAAGCCAAGATCGTAAACGGAGACTAAACGTGACGATCAAGAGAGGAGGAGGAGAGGAAGCGGCCACCCCATAAATACACCCCTATAAAATCGAGCCCGAGAAAGAATGTTTGAAAACTCATAGAAATCGATGATTTTGGCCGGTCGGGGCCCTGTTGGAAGACCTCTTGGGGGCCTTTGGGGGCGTCTTGGCGGCCTCTTGGGCTGTCTTGGGTTCATGTTCGGCGTCTTGGATCGATTTTTGGGCGATCCAGAAACGTCTTGGCCCGTCTTGGCGGCTTCTTGGCAACGTTTGGGTCCGTTTTGGCCAACCGAACCCCGACCAACCGAACCCAATCTGTGGAAGACCCCCCCCCCCTACTCGGGCAGAGCCACCCCGGCCCACCCCCCCCTTCAACTCACACGCCGAATCGCTGGGTTCTTATTTTGTTTTCTATAGCGTTGCTTTCAGCCGTGCGCTGCGGGTTGGTATACGGACGGATATGCGAGTTTTGGAGGGGTGGTTCATCGCCTTCAGCGTTGCAGGAAGGGCAGAGTGAGATGGAGGAGGGCGTGAGAGGGTCAGGCGATGGCAAAAGAAACTCTGCAGCCCTGTAGGGTGCGGGGTCGGGTGGGTTGACCCACGCAAAATACAGCACATGTCGTTCACCGCTTGTTCGAAGCGTGGGCTCAAGACTCACCGTTCCCCAATCAGCGCTTGCACTGAAGGGGTCCTAGCGGATGTTGAACGATGTGGCGAAAGTACCGGCCGATTTCGGTAGGAGGCCGGCTGCCCGGGTTCCCGGTTCCAGGTTCCCCGGTTCCCAGTTGCCGGTTCCAGGCCGCTTCCGGTGGGCGGAGGGGTTCGGGGTTCCCGGGTTTCTGGGTCCCGGGTTCCTGGTCGATCTCCTTGTCGATCGGTCTCGCCATCGATTTCATTACCCACCTCTCTATCGCTCTCACTATCGCTCTCACGATCGATCTCACAATCGATCTCTCGCACGAGCGATTTCACGAGTGATCCACCCATCAATTTGATTGAATCGATTTCACGGTCGGTCCCACGGTCGACCTCACTATCGTCCTCACTATCGATCCCACCATCGATCCCAATATCGATCTCACAATCGATCTCAATATCCAGATGTCGAATTGTCGAATCATCCGGTGATCGGGTTTTTTCTCGGGTGCAAGTCTAGTTACTTCAGCCTGAAACGAAGCATCGAAGCTGGGACATCTTCAGAGGCGCATGGCAATCGGCAAATCAACCTGACCGACCTGCCCCTCGCCCTCATCGGCATCGTTGTAGATACCGCCATGCCCACTTGCTCTACGGCAGGTTCGCCCCGTGCCAGCCTGGCGGCGACCCCGGCGCGGGCGTCCCAAGGGTTGAACGCCGCGAGTGGCCCAGGATCGGCCGGCATCGAGCAATCCGAGCTGACGAAACGCCGCGCTCGTTCGCCAATGAACCAGCCACGCGGCGTAAGAAACCAACGCGCCAGTCGTCAAGACACGAGCCAGCCGCACGCTTGCTTGCGTGCCGCATGGTTGCTAGCACTGTTGCTGCAGGTGTTGCTACTAGCCCCCGTTTGTCGCCAATTGGCAGCAGCCTCCCTGGGCAGGGCCCACTCCGACCCGATCGATATGATTCAATATCGGTTCTGGACGGCCTGGTCCGATTCGATTCCGAGATTCCGACAATGCAGTGCGGCCCGATGCAAGCATGGTGTCTTGGCGCGACCGATCCGATTCGATTTGGATGATGTGCCGATGCAGCCCGATCCGACGCATATCCCATTCCGACCCGATCCGACCCGACGATGTGTGTGTTTTTCCCCTGCGCGGCCGCGATGAAGTCAGAGCCTTCATCAGCGCGCTGGGGGGGAGAGCGTGCGTGTGTCAGCAGGCTTTTGATCAAGCCCATTGACTTAATTCAATGGCTTAAAGTCTGTTCATCCGGGCATTGCCGAGCATGGACATTGAGCCTGGCGATATGAGAAGGAAGAAAGGCGCATCAGATGCCCAGAGAATAATGTTCGACTTGCTCGACACCGACAGCGACGGGAGTGTCTCGCGACAAGAATGGGGAGGCGCGTTTCGCTTCATGGACCGAAGCGACGGTCGTCTAGAGAGCTTAGTCGAGCGCCGTTGCCCGCAAGTTGCTTGTGTGGTCCCGAGCGCGATTCTTACCCGCTGGCATCAAAGGCGGTGTCCTCGGGTAGGAGCCGGCGGACTGTTTCCTTGAAGTGGCCGTTGATCTCGAGTCTGTCTCGCTTAACGGGGTCGCCTTGGTGGGGGACACCGCTGATGTGATCGAATTCTTTGACAGGATTCCACGTGCCCAGGTGAGTTACCTGTGCACTAAGCTTGGTGTGCCCGTTGATTTGTTCATGCGTGGATGGACCATGTCTGTTCTACAGATCGCTTCTTTCGCGTGTTTGACGGCATCGGGGTCGGCAAGCGCACCTCCACTGGAATCCCCAAGGCGACGCCCTGTCGGTCATCGCCCTCATCTTGGTGACATGCGTCTTCCATGTCATGGCACAGGTGGAGGGCGTGAGCGCCTCGTTGATGAATTGGGCTGACAAGCTCCAGTGGCTCAGCCGCACTGCTTCGCAAGTCCCCGCGGGGCTTTCTCCTGCCTTGAGCGGTTTTGCACCCAATGGGACATGCAGCTGAAACGCAGTGCCTGCTGGACCTGGTCCTCTGGCCCCGGAGCTGCTGGCAGGAAAGCGAAGACGGAGACCAGGGCCACGCGCGTGCGCTCGATGATCACCTGAATCATGGCCATGCCCGTGCGGCCCCGACCATGGTTGAGCTTGCTCGCAAGGCCAAAGATTTTCTGCATCGTCTTGGGGTTGCTTCCATTCCGCTTGCTAAGAAGATTGCCATGGTGGCCCTTGGTGCCTTGCAGCCTGCCGTCTGGGACGCCGAAGCGTCCCACGTCTCTAAGCATACGACTGTGTACACTCTCACGTCGTGCGTGTCTGTTGTGCTGAAGCCCCGCAAGGGCAAGACGACGAAGCGCAATCCCGACTTAAGCTGCTCATTTGGGGGTGAGGTCAAGAGCCTTACCAAGACTTCGATGTTTTGTTTCTTGCTGTGCCGCCAGACGCGGGGCTTGCGGAGGTTTGCTCTCCCAGCCCGGTCAGGGTGCGGCAGACAGAGCCGCAAGGATCCTGACTGCACGCGGCACTGCCCAAGCGCTTCGTGGCGCCCTGCCGATCCAGCTCCTTCGGGGAACGTGGTCAGACGCAGGCTGGGCTTTGGGGGGGGATGGCGCCTGGCGGACCCCTCTGGCCGGGTGCGCGGCCATCTGCTGCCGGCAGGAGGTCGAGTGCCTCATCGCCGAGGCCGCCGCGGACTACGCATCCTTTGCGCTGCTGCTACCCGCCCGGAGCTGGCCGCATTGGGGCGCATCGACGTGGCCACCACGTTGGACTACAGCCGTGACCTTGGGGACCTGGCTGCTGGCGTTTTTTTCGCGTGCTTCACCGGGCTTGTCTATACCCAGAAGGACTTCGCGAAGATTGCCAGGAACGAGACTGATACTGCGTGCCCTTGCGGCGCCGAGGTCGAGACACTTTCCCACAGGTATCACCGCTGCTGCTTGCACAGCGCGGAGCGGGAGGCCGTCCCGGAGATCGCTGACCCCGCGCAGGTGGACGATGCCCTCGTCACATTTGGCATTGCGCAGACTACGGATGCTGAGCGCGATTCCTGGGCGACCCTGCAGAGCTCCGTCCCCACGGTTCCGCCAGATTGGACCGTTTTGCGTGTTTTCGATGACGACGACGGGTTCATGAATTTCTTCACCGACGGCTCCGCCGACCATGCCGATGACGCCCAGTGGTTCGGTGCAGGCAGTGGGGTGGCTTTCCGTGCACGCATGGCTGACGGGTCGCTCCAGTGGCACCGTTGGTGCTCTCCTCCCCCAGGCCTCGTTCAAACGATCTCTTGTGCTGAACTTGCTCCTTTGTTGATGTTGACTACCACCGTGAACCACGACATCCGGATCTGGATCGACAGCAATTCTGTTGCGGACGAGGCCCAGGCTCGTGTCTCCACTGCTGGCCGCAGCCTGCCAGGCAGCTACGCCGTCCAGCCAAACGGCGACCTCTGGCAGCTGTTTGACGACGCCCTCCGCGCCCGCCCTGCCAGGCGCGTGGTAGTGACGAAGACCAAGGCTCACACAGAGCTCGCTGATGCCCGCACGGTGATGGACGCCTATCTCTGGAATGGGAATAAGACAGCCGACGCTGCGGCCAAGCGGGGCCGGTCCGAGCACGAGGGCGCTCGCGACGCTGCCCGCGCAGTGGCCCAGCGGGTCGCGGCTTCGACTTGCCGCGCGCAGTGTTTTCAGCTTGCGGCGCAGCGCCGCATGCTTGATGTGCGCGGTGGCGACGGCGCGGAGCAGGCCAGCGACGCCCCTGGCGGCCCGGCCCCTGGCGGCGCTGACGACGCTCTGCCGCCGCAACACCCCCTAGTGTGGGGCGTGAATCCTGTCCTCGCCACCTCGCGGCGCAACGAGCTACCTTTCCTGCCCCCGGCAGCGTTCGGCAAGCAGCTGATGCGCGGCCGGCAGATCTACGACCGCTTCCCCACATGGTGGCGCACCCTTGCGTGGCTGGCCCGCTGCGATGCTTCCCCCCCGCGACTCCTACGGCACCGCGCGCATGTTGGAGCTGGCGGTGCTCTACGAGATTCACGCGCTGACGCGCCTCGCTTCGAAGGAAGGCCCCGGCAAGTGGCTCCTGGCAGACCTTCGCCCGCCCGCCGCCGTCTTGCCCCAGACGCTCAAGGCCAAGGGCATGCTTGTGCAAGCGGTGATCAAGGTGCTGGAGCAGCACGCCGCGGGGTTCGCGGCGCCTGTCCGCTGCTTCGCCCGCCCCTGGCGCACGTTGGGCTGCGCGCCGGAGGGGACGACGCACGCCCTGACGAAGCGGCCATTGATGGGCTGCTCGCGCCCCGCGCACACAGCTCGAGAATTTCTTCCGGGACCGCGACGTCCGGCAGAGCAAGTTGCAGATGGACTACGTCTTCGCGACTGCCTTGGGCGGTGTTCCTCTGAGTGACGTCAAAGAGCGCGTCGTTGGCGCTGATCCTCCCAGCGAGCGTTTAGCTACGCATGGCAGCGCCCTGAGCGCCATCGAGAAGGCTGACCTCGAGCTCTCTGCCGCGCAGGAGGGCCAGAGGCAGCAAGCGGCTGGTCTTCGGGTCGCGCATAGAAGAACATCACTGTCTACACGCTGGCGACTAATGGCATGCTCGCGCAGCTCAACCCCGCGCGCGTGGCTGGCCACCCTGCGAAGCAGGCTCGGCAAGGCATTGCCTTCGAAGAGGAGGGCCTGGGCCAGGCCAGGACCCGGCTGCATGTCTGGTCAGGTTCCATGAACCGCAACCGTCTGTCTGCCGCGTCTGGATGCCACGCGTTCAGATTCAATGCGCAGGACTCGCGGTGGGAAAATTTGTTGTGCGACCGTGAGGTTGACCAGCATGAGTTCAGCCGTGCGCGGCGCAGACCATGCCTGGGCATTCCAGCTGCTGCCGGGGCGGGTGCCAGCCGTCCGGCTGCAGCCCTGGCGCCCTCTTCCACTGCTGCTGGGGCCAGCAGCGGTGCTTCTTCATCTTCTCGCTGAGCCCGCGTTGGCGCTCCGACTTCTTCCCCGCGTGGGGCCCGCAAAGGTGCCCGCCCGTCTGCTCAGCTGCGATTGTCACTGCCAGGCAGCCGTCGCGCCAGGTTTCCTCGCTGGGCGGTGCACCCACCGAGGCGGGGATGGACCGAAACGACGACGGCGCCATCAGTTGCAAAGAGTGGTCGGTGGACGACGGCACCCCCGAGCTAAGGGGTACCATTCCCCGATCCAGAGATCAGATGATGACGCGGGAGGAGCGGGCACCGGGATAGACTGCGATGGCAGCGGCTCCGTCACTTTGAATGAGCGGCGTGTTTCGCAGAAGCAAAAATCGCGTTCGCGGCACGCCGAAAGCAAACGAAGGCCAGCGATTTGCTCAGCGTCCTTCGACGTTCTTGAACAAGCCGCAGCTGCCATATCAGGGCATATCCAGGGAGAAGATGGCGACAACTCTTCCAGCATGGAGCTGAGATGCGTGAAACGGCTTGGCGGAGAGGTGGATTGCGACAACATCATCAGCCCCATCCTGTCTTCTGGCGCAGTCAGAGCCTGTGCTCAGGCGATGCCGCAGGGCGCCCAGAAGCTGGCAGATGCTCCCGCAGCGACAGGCGAGAAACTGAACAACACATTCGCAGTCGAGGAGGGCGCACTCGAACTGTCTCACGGATCTCGTTCGGATTTTTTCTCGGGATCGGAGGGCCTCCCGGGCAGCCCCAGCACAAAAATCGGGGAAGCAATGGAGCACGAGCAAAGCAGCTCGGCGGACTCCGACGTGGAATGTACAGGATGCAGTTATGGAGTGGCGACCACACCAAGAGCGGAGCGGTTGTTCTTGGTTGATCCCGAGGACAGCTTGATGAATGCGCATCTCGAGGGATGGCCGATCGAGACAAAGCACGCGGCGCATGCTTGCAGGGCCCGGAAGCTCGAGGAGTCCGACGCCATGTTGCAGGACATCAACAACAAGCTTACGGAGTTGAGCAAGTCACTTGTTGAGCTCTCGGAGTTGACTGGGGCGCGCCTCTAATTACACAGGCCCCATGTTCGAAAAGCACAGTGCCGCATGTCGCGGCGGGGCTGTGGACAGCAGGCGGAGAAAGCAGGACCTCATCCCCCTCCCCCATCCTCCTCCTCGTCCTCCTCCTCATCATCCTCGTTCTCCTCCTCCTCGTACTTCTTCGCCTCATCCTCCTCCGCCTCCTCCTCGTCCTCATCCGCCTCCTACTCCTCCTCCTCCTCCTCCTCCTCCTCCTCCTCGTCCGCCTCCTCCTCGTCCTCCTCCTCCTCCTCCTCCTCCTCCTCCTCCTCCTCCTCCTCCTCCTCCGCATCCTCCTCCTCCGCATCCTCCTCTTCCTCGTCCCCATCCTCCTCCTCCGCCTCCTCCCCATCCTCGTACTACTGCGCCTCCTCCTCGTCATCCTCCTCCTCCTCCTCCTCATCATCATCATCATCATCATCAGCAGCATCATCAGCAGCATCATCATTAGAATCATCATGCTGCTCCTGCGCCTCCCCCTCCTCCTCCGC